ATTGGACAGTCATTGGACTGACATGACATTTTAAAACTTCATCTCTTTTTTATATGGATTAAACTATAAATAACATATATAACATGTTAATTAGTGAGCTTTAAAGGTGGTGGTAGATTTGACCTGTTTCCAGTCTTTGTGCTAAGCTGAGATGGCTATCAATCTTCTCTTCTAAATGGCAAGACAGTGAATGTGTATGTCCAAAAAACTATTACTTTAGGGTAGTTCATACAGGTCCAATGTTGCGTGTGTGTGTGTGTTGGCTATAGGGGTCTTGTGTTCAAAGCTCAGGGTTATGAAACTACATACTATCTAATTGACTCCACATACATCCTCGGTCACATATTGTACCGTGTTGTCTTGTGACCACCAGTCACCTACTTTTCTGTCATGTATCTTACATTAACACATGCACACACGTTTTTTCTGCAGAGAAATTTGCTAGTGTAAAACACCAGTCAAGTGATGCTCAGTGACATTAGTACGATGTTCCCGCAGTCACTCATGGTGAGAACAAAACATGCTATTTAGCTGACACAATAGCATCAGTACTGCAAACCGGTGTGGTTGTATAATACCATGAACAAATGAAATGCTGATTTTGGCAGCAGTCATACACATTTTCCCATGTATGCCTCACTTTAGTAAGCATCAAAGCTTTTTTCCCCACAATTATAAAACAAATATTTCTGAAGATCATCAGGAGATGATCAAGAGGGGACTGTGCAAACAGGTCAAACTAATGATGAATAGGGGGCTATGTACACTCACTTCCTTCTCCTATATAATACAACTGTATTCATCCTTATTTTGTTCTCCACCTAACACAGATATATCCCCTCCTCTTCTATCCCAGGTCTTTTCTCAATCTCCTTATGACAAATTACCACGTTAAAATGTGGCCATACCACACTATTGGTTTCAGATAAAACTGCAAAATTTCCATTCATCTATTTCCGGTTGTCATCATACACACACCTCTTTCTCCTTCAGTCATTAATAATACTGATGGCAATGCTGAGGTTACTGACCCATAGCCAACCCATTAATCAAACCATACAACTAGCATATGATCATAATAAACATGATCTAGACAAATGTCTTGCAGTCAGGACAATAGAACCAAAGCTCCCCAGAAGATGAGACCAGAAGGACAAATATGATAGAAAACAAATAAGACAAAGCTGAGGTATTTACACAAGCAATACATTCATTCTGTAGAAATCTGTATTGATAAGCAGAGCACACTTACATCCAGACAAGCATGTCATCCATTCAAAATCAAATCCTATACACAGTCTCACTGTATGTCGCTCACTATCTGTTGTACATGCATATTGTTATTCAAACATATCTGTATTTCATATTTTACTATGTATATAGTGTCCACTCATAAGTAGGAACTGACTGACCTATATGTAATATGTAAGAGGTTGAGTCTCCATCTCAAGAGACTGAACTGCTACTTAGTGCTGTCAATAATCTGTGCAATAGGCCTCGACGTTGGAGGAATATTACAATGGTGTAGTTCTGACCTCTAGTGGTATTATCATAGAACTACAGTACGATGCAGTCTAAATACATGTCTCCTCCTTGTGGCATTTATGTATAAAAGCTTTAACTTTGACTTTTTCACCATGTTTATATTCCACTTTTTTTAAATTGGAAACTGAAGCCACTTTTTCAAAACTCTTCATACAGTCTGCATTGCCAACATGCATCTTGGACAAACAATTAAACTCACCTTAAAAACTCATTCAAACCACCAAAAACACATCATACGTGTCTCAAAATAAACTTGTACACCCAAACGCTGGCAACAATTCTCACATTTAGAGAGCAAACATTGTCACTCATTATTCACTACCTTAAAAAACACTAACAGGAAGCATTACATAAATGATTAATTTTTATCTTTGAATTTCGATTGATTTTTCACATAAATTAGTATTTTTATTATCAAATAAGATATTTTCACTTTATCAACTGTACTAAAGAATATGTCACAAGAAATAATCAGAAATGCAGAAATTTCCTTCAGTATCCTTTATTTTTTCTATATCATTGCATATACTTGTTTACTTGTGAAAAATAAAAAGTTGAAACAAAAAACAAATTTCAGTGCTGCAATAGTTTTTCTTAATCGATTTGGCACATTTACTGAAACAAACATCCAATTGTTAAAACTTAAGTACCTAAAAGTACAATCCTCTCACCACGTTGTACATTCAGCACACCACTAGATGTGACCTGCAAAAGGTGATTACTCAATCAAAATAATTAAGTCGTGTTTCAAATATAAATAAATCAATGAATAAATATGATTTATGATTGCTCAGACCAAGTCAAATGCAAAGACATCTTGTCAAATGACTCTGGAAGTGTGACAGTTACCCGCTATATAATATTGTCCAAATGCTAACATTGTATATTTAGGCAGCAGAATAATATTGATGTCAGCCATGGCACATACTATACATTAAACAAAACACTTATTTGACGACACTGTGGACCGGCCCAGATTAGGCTGCACTCTCTGACTAGCCTCTGTCATACTTAGGCCATAGTTGATTATATGGTCTATAATAGTTGCCTGTATCTCATTTAAGATTTCTCTGTGCCTTTCTCCATCTCATCCTCTGTGCCCCCCTCTCCCTTTGCCTCTCCTCCTCACCATACCACCCTGCACTGTAATGCCCCTTCATCTTGCACGGGCAGACTCTTGCCCCTGTCTGTCTCCTGCATGCTCCATTTTCCAAAGCTGTAACACCGAGTCTTACCCTTGCAACATAAATGCATTTGAGATCTGATTAGTTAGAGTTTTTCTCAATCGCTTTGGCACAATTGTCGTGACAGACTAGCACTGGTACTTGAAAAACAATGAACCAAGTCTGCCAAAATACAAGCACATTGCCTGCTTTACACTCAGACTGTAGTTCTAAACCACACTTATTTTCAAAACACTGGGCACATAGACATAAACATAAAACTTACTGTAAATGTTCTGCTGAGATTTTCTTCATGTCTCAATCTGGTTAGTGCTGGTAAGTGTTTTTAACAGTTTTGGAGACAGCATTTGAAAAATGTTCTGCAAATATATAGTGTTTAGCAGGTGGTAAAGTAGTAATGAGAAAAGAGATTGTGGATTTTGGATAAAGTTGTCACTAAATGTATTTTGTGTGAAAGCAATGAAAAATGATTAACATTCGCTCACTGTGTGAAGAGTTTTGACAATGTGACTTCTGTTTTTACCTATATTGGTTAGCAATCGAAAAAAACTGTAATTCACAAGAGCAGTCACATATTGGCAAAATTACACATTGGTTTATTGGCATCATGTTACAATAGCATGAGGGCATATTGACATGATGGCTGTATAGTACAATAGCTTATTGGTATCATATTAACATAATAAACTATTGGCACATGATATTCTTATTAAGACACAATGACATATTGATTCAGTGACAGAACAAAGAGGCGAATGGGTGGACTGAAGAAGCATTGGGAGAGAAAAAAACAAAACAAAGTGTAGTTACTGTTTGGGGGACTGTATAGTCCTCAAATAATGCCTGAAATCTTTGTAATCATGATAGTAGCAATTAATGAAAACCTGGAATTCTCCTCTACACTGTGGTGGTATGAAGGTAATACTTGTCAACAGTTTTTCATTACAAGTAGTCTCATATTCAGCCCTTGAGAATAGTAATTTATACCTGTTAAAGAGCTTCTTGGCCTGCACTGAGTCCAGGTTAATCCTAATGAAAGTGCCTGCACACATAATCTGAATTAATCTTTCTCCACAGAACAAGGCATCAACATTGAATATGACAACATGACACTGACCATCGAGGCTTGTAGGCAAGAGTGCAAGAGGAGAATGAGGCTTGTTGAACATGCACACAGACATCTGCTTTTGGGACATTCCAGGTTCCCTCGTGGACTCAAGGCAAATACTGACTACAACACTTACAGCCCTAGACAAATGGTGTTAAGGGTCAGTGCCCTCAACGTCCACCCTCATATTCATCTTGCACTCTTGCCTGTGACTGAAGGAAAATACCCTGTGGTCATAACACACAATACACTTACTGGGAAGAGCAGGAAGCAGGTGACACAGGAGTCAGCCTCTACTAGGTGCCTCCGATCCAAGCACATCAAACCGGACTGGTGGGGGTTAGCAGGCATCATGGGCAAAGCTCAGTAGGTACACAGCTTGTTGGTAGTTGTTTATTCTTCAACTTATTTAATTCTTTACGTCTTACATTGATTAGAATTACACTTTTGTCAATAAGCAATAGGAGTTTATCTCAGTTTACTTTAACAAAGTTTCCTTTTGGACCTCTGCACTGCTAAAAGAGACTGAATCACTTGTGAACTCCATATGTTCTCTGACCTCTGACCTCTCTGCAGACTGGCCAAAAGAAAAATTCTATTTTCTCATTTGGATCAGATGTCATCTTAACCTATGGGAGACAGAGTCCTTAAAAACGTCACTTTCAGCGATATACTATACAACTTAAAGTCTACTGTATGACCTACAGAGTATGTTTGTAGACTTTTTTGTGTTTCTCCATACCACAGGGGGTGGTGATGGAACAGCAGATAAGACGCATGCCTTTGGTGTAAGAGACCCGGGTTCAACTCCCCCAATGTGTCCCTGAGCAAGACACTTAACCCCTAATTGCTCCAAAGGTATATGACCTCTGACATAAATAGCAATTGTAAGTTGCTTTGGATAAACACGTTAGCCAAATGTTAAACATTTTAGAGACCTAGTAAAAACAGTAGACTAGGCTGATCACATTAAACTAAAAATAAAATATGTAAAAAGTATTGGTTTTGGCATCGGCAATACCAGCTTGGGTTTTAGGCTACTTGGTATTGGATCATAAAGGAAGTAAGTGGTATCGCACATCACTACTAGCCTACTCACTGGCTCACTGAACAATCCTTGTTGCCAGGGGGGCGATGGGCGGAGTTTCGGCAGGAGAGGGCGAGCTGGGCTGGACTTCTCAAACGCCGGCAGGGATTGAAACGCGCCTGCACCTTTGGAAGTATTAGCTGCAGACTTTAATATCGGTTTACCTGCTTCGCCGGGAGGTTTTCACTGTGACTCGGTGTAAGGCTGGAGAAAATGTCTAACGTCAACTGGAAGCCCTTTGTTTTCGGCGGGCTGGCTTCTGTGACGGCGGAATGCGGTGAGTGATGAGTGGAGCGGCGGAGAGGCCGAGCTGCGTGGATTATTTAAATGTATGCTCTGATTTACTGTCTTGTAAGAAAGTAGCCTATATCACATTGTTTGTGTTGCAGGAACCTTCCCGATCGACCTGGCTAAGACCCGTCTTCAAGTACAAGGCCAGGTGGGCGACAGCAAATACCGAGAGATCCGCTACAGAGGCATGCTCCATGCTATAGTCAGGATATGCAGAGAGGAGGGGCTCCGGGCACTGTATTCAGGGTCAGTATGGTGGATTCATGAGCCTTGAGTGTTTTGTCTTTATGCATTTGTCTTCCAAACCCTGTGTTTACAACGTAGGCTAAGTATTGGACCTATTCTTTGATTATTGGTATTATTTTATAAACTTACACACTCATTTTATTTTGTACACTTCCTGTTTGTGTAACAGCAATTATCCCACTTACCTTTACCTAAACCCTTTTGCACCCAAAGACCCCCTTTGAATCTGGGGGTCTTTGAATCTCTTCAAATCATTAGATTTGTCTATGCCCCCCACCAAAAAAGTCTCTTTCTGAGGGGGTCCTTGTTTTCGTTTAGGGCATAGGGTGGATCAGGATGCACATTTGTGGGTCTGTAAAGCCCACTGAGATATTGTGGTGCTAAGTAATAAAAATAAACTTGACTTTTACAGAATAGCTCCTGCCATGCTGCGGCAGGCTTCCTATGGGACCATAAAAATTGGCACATACCAGAGCTTTAAACGACTGCTGGTTGATAGACCCGAGGGTGAGTCCCAGTTTCTCTTTTTCTCTCTGACACACACACAAACATATTTCGACAGGCAGTGACCTGCCCCCACTGACACATGAATATTCCTCTTGAAGGGAGAGGTGCAGGTGTGGGTGGGTGTATGTGTGTCCTATTTAAAAATGTCTCTCAGTTTCATACAGAGAGCTAATTAAAATTGTAACTACTTCTGTAAAATACTGTAAGGATAAAACTGTCTGAGGAATGCGATCAGATGCTGCTTGTTCACAGTTACAGTGTGCCTCCCACTCTTCTCCCCTTTCAGATGAGACATTGCTGACTAATGTGATGTGTGGTGTTCTCTCTGGAGTCATCTCCTCCTCCATCGCCAACCCCACTGATGTACTGAAGGTAGATATTTGCACACATGAAGACTGTGTTGATTCTCCTGGTCCTGTCTTAATTAATGTGCTGTCAGTTATTATCCAAAGCAATAGACCAGGTTTGACAATTTCTGCAGCAAAGCGTGCAGGAAAATTCCACTGACTTCTTTAATTGTGTATTGTTAAGTTATACAAATAGATATATGCCTTTTCTAGATGAGTCTGTAACAGCTCCAGGTTTTAGGTGTGCTCACTTGATAGCATGCCAAGTAGAGTGAAGTGCATCTTGGTGCTATCAATCCCAATCTTGTGGATTATTTATAGACTAAAGTTTCTGGGGTTTAACATACTGTCCTGTAAACGATATGGGTGGATTAATATGATGTGCTTGTGTGTGTGTGTGCACACATAATGTTTTACCCTGCCACTTATCGCCATGCCCTTTTTGGCACACTCCTGTCCACCGTGTGTGTTAAGAGTTAACAGAGTCATTAATATGGCTGCAGCTTTGGAACATTGCGTTTCATCACCGTGTTTTCTCGCTGGGCCCGCCAAATCTTCACAGAGCCAGGCAGTGAACCAAGGCTGATCTGTAAACAGCAGCCATTGTAAACGAAAACAAGTCAAGTAGGGACTGGAAAATACCTGGAAACAAGGACAGAAACCCTACTGTAGGACACCGTGGTTGACAAAAATCCCTACCACCATGTTTCCCCCCCTCTTTTTTTTTGTTTGCATTTTGACGGTAGCCGGGTTAATGCATCCATATTACGTCTGTCTATCCAGATCCGCATGCAGGCTCAGGGAAATGTGATCCAGGGCAGTATGATGGGCAACTTCATCAACATCTACCAGCAGGAAGGAACAAGAGGACTGTGGAAGGTACAGTAAGACTGAAAATGCTCCATTAGCTTTGATAAATGACCTCGGTCTCCACAGGTTTCAAGTAGCACAGCACTGTTCTATAATGCTCAAATGTTCAGTATTGTAATGTTCCCTCTCCTTCTGCATCAGGGTGTCTCTCTAACGGCTCAGCGGGCAGCCATCGTTGTCGGGGTTGAGCTACCAGTCTATGACATCACCAAGAAGCATCTGATCCTGTCGGGTTACATGGGGGACACCGTGTACACACACTTCTTGTGAGTTTGCCGAGTCATCTGGATATCTTGTTGCTGTCTCATGTGATGGGAGAAAATTTCTTGTCGGGGCAAGACATGTTAAGGTGGATCTATAAAATGATGAACTGCCCTGTTCAACAAATGGATGTGTTGACCCACATCATTATATTGCCCACTGATTCTTGAAATATGCTTGTTATATTCTCTCAATGTTCACTTGATATAACAATAGTTTTTCCCATAGACAATTATTTTTTAATAATTCTTCTAAACACTCAATGTGTAAGTTAAATTGTCAACCTTGTGTTTTTTCTTTTTTTACAGTTGTTATCAGCAGCACACGCACCACCACGGCAATGTTTATTAAATAATTAATTAATAGACGAAAATATAGAATCTACAGATTATCACTTGAACCTGTGTATTGTCATCCCCCAGGTCCAGCTTTGTGTGTGGTCTGGCGGGGGCTTTGGCCTCCAACCCTGTGGACGTAGTCCGGACACGCATGATGAACCAGAGAGGAGGAGCTCTCTACCAGGGAACACTGGACTGTGTATTGCAGGTCCGTCACAATCCCCAAAATGGAGAAAACAAACATCCTACACTTGTTCCAGTTCAGATTGTGTTTGTAGATGACTATGTTAAAGAAGCACTCCACCATCAGGTTACTCATTATGGGTGCTACGCAGCCCATGAAAACAGTTGCATAATGTTGTCTGTGGCTCTAGAGGGAGAAAATAACTCCCGATAAATATGTGTGCTAGGTAGGATGGTACTAACAAAGATACTATTGGTTGCATTCTGGGAAATGTAGGATCCAGTGTTTTGAAGCTTGAACCACTATGGACTAAAGGTCTGCATATTTCACCCCCAGCTACTTCAAATTTGACTTTTCTACTTTTTTATCTGTCTCTTGTGACTCCCACAGATTTTTAGAAGTGCAGTAGTACCTTACTGAAGTATTCCTTTAAGTACAGGCTTCTTCATGACTTATCTGTGAATGAGAAGAATCTGTGTGTGTACGTTTGATTTTTGCCTCCTGTGATAATGATTATTTAATGTAGTTATGTTGGACACACAGAGAACTTTAGAACGACCATCAGAGGATAACAAGATAAAATGGGTTTTAAACATGTTTGTTTTCTTTTCAGACGTGGCGCTCCGAGGGCTTTATGGCCCTCTACAAGGGTTTCTTTCCCAACTGGCTCCGCCTGGGCCCGTGGAACATCATTGTATCCTTTAACTATCTCATTAGTGCACCAGTCTGTTTACATATATCCTCTGTGATGCAATATCTTTTGAGCTGGAGAAATCAGCAGGAAAAATTTTTAAATTCTGTTATGCATTCAGTGACGTATGTATGTGATTCCAAGCCATGCTCCAGTGGAGGAAAACTTAGCTTAATGCTGGCTAACTCTCTTATGTAACTTTGTCAAACTACTGCCAGAGGAACCCCTGGTTAGAGAGGACGTATGGCCTTCAGGGGCCTCATTGGGGGGTGGGGGTGGGGGGGTAAGAGGAAGAGGGACAGGTGGGGAGAGAAAAGGAAAGAGTGAAAGACGAGGAAAATCTTTCTGCAAAGGCCAAAGAGTTACAGGGGGGAAGAGAAGCGCAGACGGTTTGTCATCGTGCTCCAACTAGGCCTCAACAATGCAATGAGATTATTGACTTGTTACAACAGTGTAGACTGAGGTAACAAGGAAACGTTAACAAGGGAAGCTTTGAGCTGAAATACAGACAGAGCCAAAATCTCTGAGTCTCACATTCTGCTAAACAAAAATGTCTACTCCTCTTGCCTGCGTTCCTTTACTCTCTATCCAGTTCTTCCTCACATATGAACAGCTGAAAAAGATCAACGTATGACTGACAGAATGAGACACAGAAGGACAGACAAGTATGTATCACACGCTCTGAGATGAGCTGATGGGACCAAAATCGGGAAAAGGCTGGATATGGAACCACCGAACGGGGGAAGACCCGTATAGGAGTGGCGGCATGATTGCCTGATTCCTGTTGGGGCTACATGTCTCCTAAAGCCTGTGGCAAGTGTGGAAGACACTCCTATCTGATGTTTTAGCTCATCCGAATGCTATGCTAAGCTTAACCGCTCATTTAATTTTAATATTGGCCCCATGGATTCACGTAAATGTCACCTAAATTATTGACAGGTAAATGGGAGAGAAGTGTCTAATACTGTTGTTTATGAAGCTTTATTGTCAGTCAGAAGCTGCTTTAAAAAGGACCCCAATGTCATGTGGAATACACATGAGGGGTTTTCTGCCTTCTACACTCCAAATTGAGTGCCTTAGTTTGTCATACAGACAGCCTGCACCAGAGTTGCATAAAGACTGTGACTGTCATATATAGCAAGCAGCGATCATTCCCTTTTGAAAAGAAAAATGCTTGTGTGTTGTGAGTCAACAATTTGGACTAGAATCTGGCAGGTTTTCTAATTTGGGAGGTGTGTGCATGTGAGGACAGGTGAAATTATTTATTCTCCCTGGAGTATTTACAGAGCCAAGAATACATCATGTTGTACTGTAATAAATAAGTCATTTAAACATCCTGAGGACCAGTGTGGGTGCTTAGACAGGGCGCGCACACACACGCACACACACACACACACACACATCACATGCCCATATGTGGCGAGACTAGTGGTCCCCCATGTAAGTGCAGACAGTAAATATAACCTGGGGCAGCTGCGGGTTGACTCTGCGTTCTTGTGTTATTCTATACGTTGCTGTAAAGATTATTTACATAAGTTATGTAAGCCTCGGTATTTTATCCCACACAGCTGTAGATTTAGACCACTGGGTCAGATTAGGCCATCCAAGGTGAGTCATTTGACAATGTTTATTGCTTGAAGGCAATAAAACCACTCCACATAATCCATAGTCAACTCTAGGTATATTTTCATGTACTGTATTTGCACACTGTATGCTTATCTGTGAGCTGTCTTTGTAAAGAATAAATATGTTGCTGGCTGTCGCATGTGTGCGATGCCACAGTGTAAGCCAGTGTATTTTTGTCATACATTTTGATGTTGATTTAAAGGCTGTATATTTGAAATAAAAGCGACAAACCTACTATGTGCTTTGCTTTGTTTTCACCACAGTGTGGTGCTGTGTAGCTACACAAACCAAACCAACTCAACCTGACCCAGTTGAAACCAATAACTGTTTGAGTCTTCTTATTCCCAACCCTCAACTTTGAGGCTATAAATCTAGCACAGTTGTGTTGTTTCTGAGGGATTGCCCAGTTTCTTTCAAACACATGTTCATGCAGCATCCCACAAACAATGACATGAATTATTCAGAGGAATCTAAGATGTAATTGCTCTTTTATTTCTGTGGGTAAATTCCCAGTTTTCCCTCATCAGAGCTGTTTTGAGGAGGTGGTGGGAGCTCGAGGGAGTGCAGCAGGAAACTTTGCAGTGAACTCGCAGTCTCTGTGTACAGGCATGCCTTGTTCCTTTATTTAGGGAGCATCACCATGGGACTTATTACTTGTGTGAGAACTGTTATTGTTGTATCTGCTTCATCTAAGCCACCATGGGTTGCACTGCCACATTATTGTTGGTGTGACAAGCATGGTTGTGTTGAATAACAATCAATTCTAAACAATGCCACAGAGCGTGATGGAGGAGACTAGGGTCTGTATGCTGGTTTAAACACTTGTGTACAGTATATACATTTTAGACCTTAAGGGCACCTTGTTTTCCAAGACAGGCTGACATCTATGTCAAATAAAGGCACATAAACACCCCGCCCTGTCCATAAGGCAAGATGAAGGAGAGAATAAGAATAATGTGTGGCTTGTGCCAGGAATTGGCATCTATAGATAGGCATTATAGGCTGCTGCCTGGCATCACGTCTCTGGCACAGTCCTCTAAAAGCTGGACAACTATGGCCACGGGGGATTCCGGCAGTCATAGACATGCTGCATTATGGGTATTATTTGCTGCCTGGCCCAAGGGTGCAGGGGGCTGGCTCTATTGTGTTCCAGGGATCAGAGTGAGCTTTTGTGTCAGAGGGATAAGGCTCTGCTCCAAACACCCTGCCCTTTTTCTCTCCTTTTTTTTTGTTCTTTCAGCCGTTTCTCAGATGAAAACGCTGCTCGCTGCAACACACGGGTGAATAAATGGACGAGCTGATGGAAATGTAGACGAGACAAATCTACCGTAGTCTGTTGATCCATTCGTAGTCTGATGATCCATTTGGAATAAGGACTGTGCTGCTTCTGGGCTGCACAGTGCTGACACAGAAAAGAAATTACAGGCTTATTGCCATTTTTTTTTGCTCAATATTGCCTTTGAGATATGGGCTGAAATACAACAGAATAGTTTTTGAAAGATGCTCAGAAAATGCCTGGGTGCTTAGTTTGAGTAAAATTAATGATTTTCCCTTCTGAAAATACATTGTTTACAGGCCACAGATTCTGCATAACATCAAACTACCTTGCTTAGAAAGCTGTCTGAAACATCTTTCTCCAGGAGAAAAAAAATTGCAGCCTTCTGCAATTTGAAATTGTGCCTGTAGTGAATATTGTGATAAATTGTACAGCTGGTGTGTGAACAAAAAGCTGACAAAGTGAGGATTTCAAACAAGGGGAGACAACAGATCCTGCAAATATGTAAATGATGCTTTAGGAACTCTTCCCTGACAAAGATTAGAGGTATTTCTATAGTGAATCTCAGAAAGAGACAAATATCACAGCAAGACTCTACAGGGATAATATTACAAAAATGACTAGAAGATAATACAAAAACAAGAAGTGTCACAAGATCAGTATTAAAGGAATAGTTTGACATTTTGGGAAATAGCCTAAATTTATTTGTTGTTTTGCAAAGAGTTATGATACCACTCTCCTGTCTGTACACTAAATGTGTCGTTGGAGCCAGCAGCTGGTTAGCTTAATATAAAGACTGGAAACAGTCAAATATGTACAAAAATGAAGTGAACTGGGAGTTAAGCAGCTTTGACTTGTTTTGGCCGGGAAAATAAAAGCCAAGACACAGTCCAGCATTGGTTGTTTTACAGGGTGTTATGCCCCCTGTAAAACCCTACTTCTCACTTGATTTATTACCACAGTCAACATTTGGGTAATGAGTTTATGGTCTCAATTGCTAGTTTCAAGTCTTCTTCAATCCAGCATGATGTTCATTCTGTAAATTATGGTCTAGTTTAGAGGAAAATAGATGATAAAGCAGGGTATGCATTAGGGCTTGGTGACTTTGTGAATGACAAGTCACTATCACAGCAACCTACACCTATCCACTGCACTGTGTAACCTCAATGATGGATGGAAACTTTAGGAGTCCCCACTATACACTGTAGCATCTGAACTTTGTCAGCTGGCTGTCTATCATCATCAATAAGAGAATATGAGAAAGTTGCCTTCAGTTCTTATCTGTTACACCCATAAAAATGCTCAATTGCCTAAGTCGATGATTCATCTCGACTAAAACTCTTCATCCAAACAAACAACAGGCCCTCTAAATCACAGCGCAGTCGACCTACATTTATACACCACTGGAAGGGGACTGGGACCCCGGGGAGACAGGATCACAAGGATGAGCCGCTGGTAATGCTGCTCCATTGTTCCATTAAGACGGGAATAGGCCAACAGAGTGAATGTTAAAGGAGATAAAGGGAGGGGAGATTTGTTCCACATGTTGGCTTCTTTGACTCTGTGACACCGAGAGTCAGGGAAAGTGAAGTTGTGTCACTTATGAAGACACTTTAATGTTCCTGTGACATCTATGTATAGTTTAAATGATATTTTAGTGTTTTTTAAAAGAAAGTCAGACATTTTGGCAATTAAATAAAATAAAATAATTTCTTGCCAAAAGCTAGATGAGACGATTGCCACTCATTGTGTTTGTCAATTAATTATGAGGCCATAGCAAGGAAATGGTTAGCTTACCTTAGCTTAGTTTAAATGCTGGACACAGGGGGAAGCAGCTAACATTAGTCTGGCTCTGTCTAAAGGTTGAGAAAAATCCACCTTCCATCACATTTAAAGCTCACTAATTAACACACATTACACCTCATTTGTTTAATCTGTATAAAAACTAAAGTGTACAAATAATGTTGTGGTTTTACTTAGCTGGGCTAACCATCTCCTGGCTGTAGCTTTATATACGAGAGTGGTGTCACATTTCCCAAAATGTGGTTATACTGTAAGTCCACACACATTTAAAGTATGTCTCTGGTGCTTAGTAGTGACTTTACAGTAACTTTTTTCTACTCATGGTTGGGGGGGGGGGGTTCACCTCTGTAACATAGCAATATTTTCATAGCTCTTTCTAAACATTGTTGTAAGAAAGCAGGTTTTCCCTTCTTGTTCTTGTTTTATCTTCCTTATTGCTCGAGACTACATCCCAAAAATTAATACACAGCAGATGAGCGAGGAATACTGCCATCATAACATTATGTCCCGGTTAGACATATTCACTCTTATGTAATTCCAGAGGACAAACACTAGGCAGAGCTCATGTGCTTTCTTACAGCTATAAAACATCAAAACCGAGGAGTAAACACACCATCTGCCTGTCTCCAACCGCCAGACTCTGTCTTGCTCTCTATGACCCGCTCAGTCACAGCTCGCTCATTAATATCCCAGCTTCTGATAAGGAATAAATATTCAAATATTCAGCAGTATCAGTTTCCTTGGACGCCTAATTTAAAATTCCCTGCCCTCAGGCACAGCATGCACAGCATGCACAATCCATACAAACACACACACACACACACACACATACACACAGGCCTCTCATGTGTGTTGGTGGCGTTAGTGGGATTGCTCACTGACACTGGAGTCCTCCCACATACACACTACAGTCTGAAGCTGCTGTTCTCCACTTCTGTTTATCTCTCGCTCTCACCCTTTTTTTTTTTGAAAAGAGGGAGAGGCATGGAGGTGGGAAAGAGAGGTGAAAGACTGAGGTGTGGAGCCAGGATAAAAATTAGGTGAAGGAATGAGATGTTAGATGGAGTCAACGGGGAGATATGAGAAAACTTTATTGGAAGTCAGCTGCCGTTAAGCCAAGGATGAGTGCCCGGAGAAAGAGAATAGAAGATGACAAGAAAAGAAAGGATTGGTGGAAGAGAGGGTAGGATGCAACACACGTCCTGATACTCTGCTGCGCTCCAATTAGCATCCATATGATGCCTCTACGACAGTGGTTGTCAACGACTCAAGACACAAATGGGCTGCGAGACATAGGGTTACTGGCCCTGACTTTATATCACTTGAGAACAGTCTAAGAACTAGGTAAAAATGGAAAATGTTTTTTTGTGATGCCAGATGCCAGCAAATACTAACCAGTGCAAATCCAAATCTCCAAATCTGAAAAACCCTGAAGGTACAGAGAAAAAAGGTGAACTGATCTTCATTTTACTAATGAAGGAAATTTTACCTAGCACACCTCATTAGGGTCATTTTGGCTTAAGACTGGAGATATATCTATCACTGAGCCTGCGTTGCAAACTGGGGGTTTAGAGTGTATAAAACCTGGGGTTCACCAGGTCAGACAAAGACAAGTTGTTGGTTATATTATGGGAAATGTAGGATCAAGGATTTTGTTTGGAGCTTAACTCACAGTAGGAACTACAAGAACAGTCAGGATATCTCCACCTCTACCTGCTGCTTTAATATTGATCATTCTGCTTTTAATCTGCCTCTGGAGTACCACTTTAAACATGAAATGATTTACTGACCTTGGAAATAGCAGATTGACACAACAATCCCAACACAAGAGCCACTTACAAGCTTTTTCCAGATCTTTCAACAAGGTCCTCATCAACAGACTTGGCTCAGTTGGCTCAGATGCAATGGAGATGGAATTGCTGACATGCAAGCAAACTGAATGTTATGGAAAAAGCTAGTATATGGACCTTGAGTTGTGTTGTCAAGGAAGAAAGTTTTTGAATTGGTGAAACCTAATCAATACAGATACTTCCATTCAGGGAGGTTGCTAAATGGTCTGGGAGAATATACAAATAATGCAAATCACATGCCTTGGCCTTGTGTTAGACAGTGTTTTCCACCATCATCAACAAAACACCAAATTGGATAAAATCTTT